TATGCTGTTGAAGGACAAAACTAGTTAGACTACCTTTACCAGAAACACCTATATGAACTGAAAATGGTAACAGAAGTTCTTCAAAGGGTGGTATTAGCTCAAACATACCCCCTGTTCTTGAGTGAAAAATTTTATATATTGATGACTATAATGCAAAAGAAAGGAATAGAACTAAGAAATTGTACAAGAGGTTGAATCTGCTTATGACAAAAGTACATCTTTGACTCTTCCATGGATTTAGGTCCTCCCTGTCATGCTTACATGTTCAAGTTTATGGCCTCTGATACCCTGTGAGAGGTACGGTGCCCACCAGAGCCATAGTTTTAAATGACTCCTTGGAATGGCAGTTGCTATATATCATTCCATGTCATTTGTCAAAATGCTTTGACCACAGGTACTTAAAGGAAAATTCTCAAGTGTGTTGAAACAACCATCAAAGAACATTCTGACCAGTTAAGAGTTGAGAAAATAGAGGTACCTCTATGCAAACACATGGGAAAATAATTAGGAAGTAGCTTAGGAATATGTGTTAATTGGAACAGTCTTCCCTATTTCCAATCAAAAAAACTTGGGGAAGATTCTGGAAAAGTCTTTGAAGCCATGAGCCTAATGTACATTAAAAATGGAAACTAGATACTCTAGTGTTAGTGAAGGAGTCAGCTCTAAGTCAGGGAATTACTGTGGTTGATTGAGCACTCATTACATACCTTTGAAATAATCTCTGTGATTCTGACCCTTAGCCCACAAAAATTTACCCATGGGTGATTAGACATGTGAGTGGGGTTATTTAGTTTGGAAAGGAGAAAAAATGTGATAGAGATGGACAACCTATAGTAACAGATGATATAAAGCAGAGGCTCTCAGATTTTTTCTCTGGCAAAGATAATTTTTGGCATCTGACTAAATTTATAAACCTTGGCCATTTTACTTCTAAATTTCTTTGTCTCAAAGCCAGTGGGATTTTATTTTAAACCTTTCCACAGTCTCTAACCTATTATTTTATTTCTGTTACACTGACTGTGTGCGTTTAGTTTAGTATACCGTTTTAAGCTTGAAGTTAGCAAATGAGCAGCAGGAGTGGACTTAATGGCAGAGACTTCGGAGTCAGACAGACTGAGCTTAAATCTTACCTCCACCACTTACTGTGTGACACTTTAGACAGATTACTTCATCAATTCCTTGTTTTCTCATCTCTGAAATGGGGATGTTATTAGAAACTGTGTAAACTTTTTATGAACATCAAATATGACGATATGTCAAAAGTGCCTGCAGGACAGAGCTTAACACAGACTAGATTTTTTTATTATCCCTCCTCTTTTCTTGTTGAGGTGTTCAATAAGTAACAGTAGTAAATATATTAGTAGTGCCTTCTCTCAGAAAATTCCCCTCAACTTCATATTTTTAACTCTATTTAAGGGACTATTCCTTTCTTCTCTCCCTGGCCGAGTCATAAGCATCTTTAACAATTCTAGATACTCTCTTTGTAAAGCAAGAAAAGGCTGAACCCAGAAAGAAGTAACATTAAGATCTGCGTTGCTATGAAGAAATAGTTTTAACCAATATGTTTGTCTTTTGCTAACTTTTTTTTTTTTTAATCCTCACCTGAGGACATTTTTTGTCCAGGTAGAGTGGGAGGGAGAGAGGGAGAAACATCGACGTGAAAGGGACACATCAAGTGGCTGTCACCCACACGACCCAACCAGGGCTGAGGACAAACTGCAGCTGAGGTACATACCCTTAGCGGGAACTGAACCCAGGTCTCTCTGGACCGCAGGCCGATGCTCTAACTGCTGAGCCAAACTGGCCAGGGCCTTTTGCTAACATTTTCAGCCCTTGCAGATTGCTTATGGAGAATGTTAAGCAAATGACCCTTTTGAAAGGTTAAGATAGGTAGTAAAAAAAATTTCCTAGGAAGCTATGATTTCCAGGAATTCTAATTGCCAATCTATGCAATGCAGAGTTTATCAGAAAACTCTGATAAACAGTGGTTACCTTGCTGGATCCCTGAAATTAGTTTTGCCACGGTCTTATTCTCTCAACAAAGGGTGTTATCCTGGGGTAAGTGATGATTCACTGCTTGAGTGTTTTTCTTCTGAAAACCTGCAAATTTGTTAGCAAAAGTAGGTTAGAGTTGTTTGTATGGAAAATAATACAGTAATAAATAATACAAGAATAAACTCTGTGTTTCAAGTACTCACAACTGTAAACCTACTTTTGCCCCACCCTGTATTTAAATTATACCACAACTGGCTGGTGTGGCTCAGTTAGTTGGAGCGTCGTCCTGTACACTGAAAGGTCAAGGATTTGATTCCTGGTCAGGGCACATACCCATGTTGCGGGTTTGATCTGGTTGGGGTGTGTACTGGAGGCAGCTGTTCGATGATTCTCTTTCTCTCTCTCTAAAATCTGTAAGAGAATTCCCTCGGGTGAGGATTATAAATAAATAGATACATAAATAAATATTTTTAAAATAGATAAAGTATACTAGTGCATCAAACATTCCATATGCTTATGCCACTAAAAGTATATATAGAGAGAAGAGTGCATGCATTGATAATAAAGACTAAGGCAGATAGACATGGATTCTAGCATATGAATTGTGGGCATATTTGTTTTTTTTAAAATGTCTATTAATGAACTTCAGTTGTTTAAAACAGAAATAATAGTGTAGTAATAATGACTTCGTGGGATTATTATGAGAATGAATGGTTAAGGTTTGTGAAGTCCAGGAAATTCTAGTTGTTTTCCCTATCCATTCTTTCTTAAAATGTTTTATTTGAAACAAAGTAGTACTTATGTACAATTTCAAAAATCAGATAAAACAGAAGTTTTATAATAGATAGTGACCTCTCCTATCCGACTCATCTAATTGATCGGTGCTTCTGTTGTCAGCTTTCTCCCATCTGCCTTCCGTCTTCTGGGGAGTTGTTGAAATTGCTTATTCATTAAGAGCCCTTGGCCCCTCTTCTGTTCTCTTCCTTGGCATGTGGGAGCCGAGGATTTAATTTCACTCCTTTATCATTATAATGTTTCTCTCTGGGGGTGTGTGGAGAGGGAGGTATATGCTGAATCTTCCTTGACCAAGAAGCCCCTCATCCCAAATTTAGTTCAGAAAATAATTGTCTTTCTTTTTTATTTATTTATTTATTTTAGAGAGAGAGAAGGAGAAACATCAACTTGTTGTTCCACTTATTAATGCATTCATTGGTTGATTCTTGTGTGTGCCCTGACCAGGGATCAAACCTGCAACCTTGGCATATCAGGACAACACTCTAACCAACTGAGCTACCTGGCCAGGGCCATGTTTTCCTTTATTTAAAAAGAAAAGTACTATGTGTTCAGTGCCAGGTAAATCATGGTAACTATACCTCTGTGGTGCTTAGAGTCTGGAGGGGGGACCTAGATAAATAGTTTCATATAGTGCTGTGGAAAAGGAGGTCTTAGAGGGTGCCACCAGGATTGAGTGTTTTCCTTGGTTAAGTCAGGTGGTTACAGAACTGGAAATAGAGAAGTACTCTTGAGTTTATTACTGTGAATACTCAGAATTCCTTCTTTGGCTTCCTTGCTGCATAAGCCTTCCTCCTACCACTGTAACACATTAGGACACAGCTTTCTTAATAGCTATACTATCAGAAAAATGGGTGCGTGGTTCTGTGGTTTAACTTTTCTTTTGCTTGCTTGAGTACATATCAGGTTCTAGCCTCTCAGAGCTAGGTTAATAGCTGGACAACTTTCTTTTTATGTGTCTGTCTCTTGTGTCCCAGAGCTTATAAAGTTTTGGGGCTCATTTCATACTTGAAATGTATAATTTACTGTTTCGTTCTGGCTTTTGTTCTGCTTCACCTCTTTAGGTCATTTGGCCTTGAACCCTCTCTCCACTGTCATAATTTTTAGCACTGACCTAATCAGTTGGGAGGATTTCAGATCCAAGACTTGTGCTAAGAATTTGAATACAGCCAAGAGATTCAAGGAGCAGGTGTGGCTAAGCAGCTACCCAGTCTTTGACCAGCAGTTTCTTTGTGGTGATTAAGCAGTAGGTCAGCTGAGGATTTGTACTTCCCCTCTCATGGGCCTTATACTAAGACCACTATTTCCTAAACTATTCAGAGTCGATGGGGTCCCTCTGGTGGTGCTCTCTTCTCGGGTGATATCACTTCTATAGCAATGTTTCTTTCCCAAAAGTGTTCTCACTGTAGCAAAACAAGCCTCATCAGTGGGGCAGTCACTAGAAACAGTTCCCATACAACATATTAAGCACGTCTTAGTTGTTAGAACTATAATTATGATCATTTCAAAGATGATCTCCCCCACCCCAAAGTTCATGCTCTTAATATCAGCTGGAAAGTTTCAGTCTAACAAATATCTCAGGTGATTGTAAATACTTTAATTTAATCCTCAGACCACAGTCATAAAGACTCTGGCATGGAACATTTGGTATAACCTGAGATTATCTTCACTTACTTGATCTTAAGAGAAAATGTCTGGTCTTGAATGGTAAGGCAGCATGGGTAGTTTAGTAGTAAGGCTGAGGAATCAGACTGACTTGGGTTTAAAACCTTCTGCCTTGTGGCAAGCTCTGTGACCTTGTCAAGTTAGCCTCTGTTTACTCAATTCTAGTATATGAATAATAATATTTGTCTCTCAGGGTTGTTGTGAGGATGAAGTGAGACAGTGTAAGTGATATACATGACTCATTAGGTGATCAGTGGATATTTATAAAACAACTTCATACCCTGACTTATCTATAAAATAAAAGGTAATCTCTAAAGTACATGCCAGCTCTAATAATTCTTGCTTCTCTATCTTCATTGCATAAAATAAATATGATGTATATTTTAAAGATATATATGTATAGAGATATATAGCTGCAGAGTCCTTGGTTGTCATGAATTACTGCCTGCAGAATGTCCTTTACTGGACATGGAAACTCAGCCAGTGGAGAAGGCGATGTACCAGATAGTGCCATAGTTCTCTTATCTAAGCTTGTTTCATAATTTCAGTCATACCAGATTCTCCTGGGGTTTATGAAGCTGAGTCACCATCCCCACCTCCTCCTGCGTCTCCACCTCCTGAACCAGCGCTGAAGACTGAGCCAGAGCCACCTCCTGTCAAGGTACAGCTTTGCTGGGATGGTTCCCTTGCTGTGTGTTCTTTTTCACCTAAGGACCGAAAACTGCTATGTTGAATCCATTCTCTGCTGTATACTTCACAAATGCCAGTAGATGGCTCTTGTCTCATTCTGCTCTTCTATAGGTGGTAAGAATGGACATTCCCTGTCTTCTCACCTGAAGTGAGATTTCAGCTGTAGGTCCAAGTTCCAGGAAGGTTACAGAGGTGGAGTCTGGGAGCTCTTGTTTTCCATGACCTCCAGCATCAGAGCTGCTGTGCTGCCCAACTCCCATTTGAATTATGAAAAATGAAGTCGTGCCTGCATCAGAGCAAAGTGTATGAAAGAGGACAAACAACTTATGCATGTTGGTTACTCTTCCGGAAAAGGGTGGATGAGAAGAGCTGGCAACAAATGGGGAAATGTTTTTTTTGAGTGATCTCTAGCTGCATCTTGTCTACATCTGTTAGTGTAGATAATGAAGTGTTGAGAAGAGAGGTGCTGACAAGTTTCTTTTTCCTTTATGACTATCATTTTTCCTTAATTCATTGTATTAAAAGACTGTCATTTAAATTTTGCATTGATATCTTCATTAGCTGAACAGCAAATGGGATTAAAGACCAGTGGGGATAAAAGGAAAGTAATACCAGTCTGGGACTAAATTATTAGATGGACATATGTTGCAGTGTTGAGGCTGAAATAGCAAGTATCTACAGCAAGGGCAGATGTCGTGGAAACTTCTGATCTGTTTCAGGGCCTTCTCTGTGTGCTCCCATAATACCTGCCTCGGCCCTTCAGTAAAGCCGTTATCTAAATGGTCTGTTTTCCTTTCTGTCTTCTCCACTAAGGTTCTTGTCCTGTTGATCTTTAAAACCCTTGGTGCCTGCCCTGGCCTGTTTGGCTCAGCGGTTAGAGCGTTGGCCCATGGACCGGCGAGTCCCAGGTTTGGTTCCCGCTAAGGGCATGTACCTCAGTTGCATTTTGTCCCCAGCCCCGGTTGGGGTTGTGTGGGTGGCAACCACTTGGTGTTTCTCTCTCTCCCCCTCCCGCTCTATCTGAAGATAAATGCAAAAATGTCCTTGGGTGAGGATAAAAAAATAAAATAAATAAATAAAACCCTTGGTGCCTGTGCTGCTCAATGAAAGTATGTTGCTGAATGAACACAGATTTTTTTTTTTCTTTATTGATTTTAGAGAGAGAGGAAGAGAGAGAGAGATAGAAACATCAATGAGAGAGAACATCGACTGGCCGCCTCCAGCATGCCTCCTGACTGGGGATTGGGCCCACAACCTGGGCAAGTGCTCTGACCAGGAATCGAACCAGCAGCCTCTTGGTGCATAGGTTGATGCTCAACCATTGAGCCACACTGGCCGGGCTGAACACAGATTTTTGCTCAACATGTTATTTTTCTTTTTTTTTTTATCCTCACCCGAGGACATTTTTCCATTTTTTGTTCAGGTAGAGTGGAAGGGAGAGAGAGGAACTGAGAGAGAGAGAGAAACATCGACGTGAAAGGAACACATCGAGTGGCTGCCACACGCATGACCGACCAGGGCCGGGGACAAACTGCAACCGAGGTACGTGCCCTTAGCGGGAACCGAACCCGGGTCTCTCTGGACCGCAGGCCGACGCTCTAACCGCTGAGCCAAACCAGCCAGGGCTCAACATGTTATTTTTCTTTTCATAAACAATGAAATGTCAAGCCTACACATACAATGAGCATAATTTATCTCTGTAGTAGGGCTGGCCCTCTAACAGGAAATGTGTAGAATTCTTCATTCAGTTTATATCATCATGGAATATTGGAGGTTGATTGTTATAAATTAAAAAGCTTTCTTTTTTTCTGTAGTTTTATTAGTCACCTTAATGTTATAACCTCTGATCTTTCTTTGATCTTTTAGAGCTTAAGTGGAGAAAACAAAAGAAAACGAAAGCGCGTGTTGAAATCGAAAACCTTTGTGGATGATGAAGGCTGCATGGGTAAGAAAAATTGGGGGCTCCAAATCCAGAAATAGTTACTACCATAGAGAGATACCATAATCCCTTAAAGAGCAGCGTGCCTCAGCCTTTATTGTGCCGGTGACTCACCCCCAAGTGATGCCTTGCTGCTTGTCTGTGGCCCACACTCTGAGCAGCACAGTATAGAACAACTAAAGTTAGAACACCTGGTTATTGTTGGGGCCATCCACTATAAATATAAGCTTTGAGATCTTGGATGAAAGTTGCCACCTCTGGTGGGGAATTTGTTGATCTATGGAATGGAAGTAAAATTTTTATTTTGTTTACATGTGGGGATGTTGTGAAGATTCAGGTGAGGTAATATATCTAAAAAACACTTTCAAGATGGATATCACAATACCAACTTAAGATGTTATAGATGTTGAGAAACGTTTTTTTTAGAATGATCATTTTATACATATGAATAGTGGAAAGGGACCTTCTACAGATGATTAGACTGAAGAAAGTGTCATGAGTCTTTGATATTTTGTCCCCTTTGTTCTTCAGAGAGGGTTGACTCTTCCAAATTACTTCCTTAATGTTTCCTCTTTGTAAACCATATTAGGTAAAAGTAGGTGCTTTTTTTAACGGATGCCTTAGAAGAACAGAATTTAGGCTTTGAAACAAACTAAGTATCCATTGACAGATGAATGAATAAATAAAGTTGTGGGGGTGTGTGTACATGTGTATGTACACAGAATATTATTCAGTCATTAAAAAAAAAAAAAATCCTGCCATATGTGACAACATGGATGGACCTTGAGGGTATTGTGCTAAATGAAATAAGTCAGACAGAGAAAGAGAAATACTGTATGATCTCTTTTACGTGTGGAACCCGCTGCCAAAAACCAACAACAACTCATAGACAAATGGATCAGAGTTGTGATTACCAGAGGCAGGAAAATAGGAAAAATGTGGCCAAAAGGTACAAGCCTCTACTTACAAGATAAATAAGTGCTATAGATGTATGTACAGCATGTTGACTATAGTTAACACTGTTGTATGATACATATGAAAGTAAAGAGTGTATCTGAAGAGTTCACAAAGAAAATTTTTTTCTTTACAGCTATGGATGCTACCTACTAACTAAACTTATAGTGGTTATCATTTCACAATATATCTAAGTCAAACCATTATGCCATATACCTTAAACTTAGACAGTGGTGTACTTCAATTATATCTCAATAAAACTGGAAAAATATATTTAACATCTAAAAAAAAGAATTCAGGCCCTAGCCTGTTTGGCTCAGCGGTTAGAGCATTGGTCCGTGGACCAAAGTGTTATGGGTCCGATTCTCGGTCAAGAGCATGTAGCTGGGTTGTGGGTTCAGTCTCTGGTCCTGGTTGGGGTTGTGCGGGAGGCAACCAATTGATGTGTCTTTCTCACATTGATGTTTCTCTCTCTCTCTCCCCCCGTCCCCTCCCTCCTACTTTCTCTAAAAATCAACAAAAAAATATCCTCTGGTGAGGATTAAAATAAATAAATAAATTCAGGCTTTGAGTCATTGGCTGCTTCTTCAGCCACGTTTTAGGTTGTTGTACCTTTTCCAGAATTGAACCAGACTTCTGTGGGGCTTTTTGGCTTTGGCCTGGAGGCCTGATGGGATGCTCAGATCCTGGTACTATATTTCTATATTTGAAGGAGTTGTGAGTTTAGCCTATTAAACTTCTTGTTAGTTGGATTAGCCAGCCCATAATAATTTTTTCTCCTTTTCTGTGATACCTGTCACAGCTTGGCTCTCCTAGAGAAGTATTTTTCCCCCTTTCTTGACATTCCATTTCTTACTCAAATTTTTGTCTTAAAAATATTGATTGACTGAAGAATCAGGTTTTCCTAGGCATTGTGGTTATTAAAACTAGTGAAGACATCTTATTAGTTGTGAGCCTTATCCCATTATTCTCTACCTCCCACTCCTCTGAAAAGGCCTCTGACATTTTAATTGTAGCATGTGATTGGGGAATAAAATTTCTTACATGTGGAAATTCTGTATTTTCAGTGCCAAATTTATTGTGAGCCTATGAATTCTGGACTTGGAGTAGTCTGTTTTGTTTTGAGTCTTCTAATAGTGCATTTTCAAGCCTCTTAGTTTGACTGTTGGTGGTAAATAATGTATTTTCTGTTGGATTTCTTATTCTGTTTTTCTTTTAACTATAAGAGGATAAAAGCATCAGTGCTAGTTATTTTCTCTTATACCCCAAAAGAAAAATGTCAAATATATCTTTGTGAGAGTTCATTGGGAATTTGTGGCTAATTACCTATTGTTTTATTCAAAACGCAGCACTCCGGTTTTGGCCAGGTGTGGGACATGGACCTTTTCGTAGTCCTGTCTCCAGACAGGACTCGTAAGAGCCTTGGACGCAACAATGAAAACTGTGCTCACATAGTTTTTTTTTTTTTTTAAGTTTTTAGTCCAAGCTCAACCTAATGAATCTTGGCTCCCGTTACCAACAAAGGAGTTCTGCTTTCCCCTGTCTCAGACTGTTCCAGATGTACCGGCACAGCGGTCTTGCCCTGTCCTGTGCTAGATCAGAGTTGGTCTGTGGCTTTAAAAAGCTGGTCTTGCCCTGGCCGGTTTGGCTCAGCAGTTAGAGCGTCGGCCTGCGGTCCGGAGAGACCCGGGTTCGGTTCCCGCTAAGGGCATGTACCTCGGTTGCAGTTTGTCCCTGGCCCTGGTCAGTCGTGCGGGTGGCAGCCACTCTCTGTGTCCCTTTCACATCGATGTTTATCTCTTTCTCTCTGTTCCTCTCTCTCCCTCCCACTCTACCTGAACAAAAAATGGAAAAATGTCCTCGGGTGAGGATGAAAAAAAGCTGGTCTTTTCCTTTCTGTGAGTTTGCTACAGGGACTGGGGAGCTGGGCCCCTGAGATGAGTTAGTAGTGGACTTCTGGACAAGGTGGATTTCTAAAGCAAAATAGTGGATGGAAAAGAATTCTGATGTTGCCCATGCAAACTGGGCCTTTTTATTATTTTATTTTTTTCAAACTGGGAGTTTTTAAATGGCCTCCAAGAAAAGTGGCATGTTTTTCAGCTTAAGACATTTTGTTGGTGCTGCCCTGACTGGTTTTTAACTACTCCCCACCCCCACCCCCTGCAATGCATTGCACAAAACTGGCAATGAGACAACCAGTGGTTTCATTAATAAGTGATGAAATAATGAGCTAATTGATGCTGGAGTTTAATATTATAGACATGCTGCCATTTGAATACAGAATATAGCTTATGAAGGAGCAAGTCTATACCACTAGTTAGTAGTCAGTCTTCTTTTTCTGTCTATAGTTGGCTCTTTACACTTCTCTCAGACTTTGAGATGCTGGGTAAATAACAGCCCATAATTTTGTTGCAGTAATCCAGTTCCATAATGCTTTTGAAGTTGCACACAAGATGGGGATGGTGTTATGGGATCGTAATTGCTGAACTAATAGGTATATCAAGGAAATCCCCTAAATATTTTAGAGCAACATTTCTCAAACTTTGCTGAGTATATGCATTACTTGAAGATCTTGCTAAAATTCAGGTTCTGTTGCAGTAGAACCTGAGGTTCTGCATTTTTAATGAGCTCATGGGAGAGTCTAATGCCCTCTGGTCTGTGGAGCAAAGTTGACTAGGAACGCCTTTGAGGAGACTTAATATATATTTAACGCTTATCAGTGTTTTTAGCCTCTAAGTTGGCAGGCGTCAGCAAGTAAATTCTAGTTTCTTGAAAGTAATGAGAGATCCTGGGAAATCTTAGGGAGGGGACTGTTAATTATGCAACTTTAATAGCATTGGAAGGAATAAGGTAAAGGAATGCTCCAATGGCAGTAGCCAGTTATTGAAGGGTGCTTGCCAAAGATTACTAGGAACATCTTTACGTTCTGTGAGGCAGTGTTATCCCCATTTTATGGAAGGCAGGGAGAAGTGATTCTCAAGAGGAGGTCCCCAGGCTTGTTAGAAAAGCAAATGCTCAGGTTCACCCACACCTACTGAATTTGAAAGTCTGAAAATAGAGCCCAACAATCTGTGTTTTAACAGGCCCTCCAGGTGATTCTGGTGTATGTTAAAGTTTGAGATTGTATAAATGGCAGACTAGGTCTTAGGACATAGATATATTTGATTCCAGTGCCTATGCCTCTAGAACAATTTGGCTAATATACTTTATTAGACAGAAATGATTAATAAGAGCTTAAAACTATCATTGTTCTTAAATGGGGAAAAAATACCTTTCACTTTAATCATCTGAGCATTTATTATGCATATTGGGTTATTCTATTCAGCTAGGAAAAGATGTTTTTCTTTACTGTTTCTCCATCATTTACTGCAACCAGGAAGGCTGAGAAAGAATTTAGATGCCATTGGTTATACAGCCTGCTTCTGCTCTCTAGAGTTACAGGAAGGTGGCATTGTTCTGTTTCTTGTGGTTGGTATATGCATTGTAGTATTTCTGGGGAGACATCCTCGTCCTCATCAGTTCTGTGACGTTGTTGGGAGCTATTGTCTGTGTCCTTTGAGGCTTCCTTATAATGACTGCTCACTAGTATAATGCTTTTCAAAGGTTTCATTAGGCAGGTTTCAGTGAGTTTTATTGTCTGGAAAAAGTAAAATATGCCTTTGTCTGATAGGGAGTAAGAGAATTGGTAACTGTTTTTCATTGTGTCATGGTCCTTCCTTAAAATTATCTGCTTATCATCTGATAGAGTTTGCTTGGGACAGTTAACTTTATGATGTAGACCACTAGTAGATCTTGGGTTAATTAGCAATCATTCAAAACTAAGAACTGAACAACTGAGTGAGTAATCTCCAAATCTCTGTACTTAGGATGTGCAGAGAGTGAGTGACATCAGGATAGAACTAGTCAGAGTCCATGGCAGTGAGCCTGGCTACACAGGATTGAAACTGGCAAATAGAGCAGAAATTAAGACCCGGGAAACGAGCAGTAGAAATAGGCAGGCACCAATCAGAGCTCAGAAAATTGGTTAGCATAGATCAAGACCCAAATGCAGGATTTGGGCAGTCAAATGATAAAGGCCCATTTAAAGGCATGGGACATAGCAGTGAGGAAATAAAGGTGCATGTTGATTCTGAGCCCCAACTAGGACTATGAGCTCAAGATACCACATACCCTCTACCTGAGGCTGGATATGATCTCCCAATGGGAGAAAACTCTGGTAGTGGATGAGCATGCTGTCCTTGATCAGAGGGTCTGAGGGGAACTGGGTGAACAAGACATCTCATTCTCTTGATAGAATAGTATTCTAAATGACTCAACCCACTCATGTTCCATTTTTCTCCTTATTCTACCAGTGACCGAAAAAGTCTATGAGAGTGAATCCTGCACAGATAGCGAAGAAGAACCTAAGATGAAGACATCTTCCATACACAGGCCCCCAGCAATGACTGTGAAAAAAGAACCAAAAGAGGAACGAAAGGGCCCCAAGAAAGGGACTGCTGCTCTGGGCAAAGCCAATAGACAAGTGTCCATTACTGGCTTCTTCCAGAGGAAATGAACTGCCATCTCTGTTAGGTCAGAGATGTGGAGTGGTCAAGGAGAAGACCAGGACATACAGACTCTCACTTACTGTGTAAGTTCATCCAGCGCCTCACCTCACCCATATCAGAAGACTGTTCTTCCATCTTGTAAGGTTTATACTACCGGTTTTTAACCAAAAAGAAATCACCTGGAAGCAAGAGGCAAAAGAATATTTGAAAAACTGTTACCTTCAAATGACATTTTTAAAGCACAATCTTTGACCTGTCCCAGAAGAATTTATCCAAAAAAATTGGAACAGGTTTCAGAATTATCACTGAAGCCATTTAGTGGCTAATCCGCTGCACCCTACCTGCCCTGTGCCCTGATACACTTTGAGGCTCAGGGAGTATTCTTCCTTGTTCCTTTGTATTCTATGGACTTGTGTGGGTATTTTTTTTTATCCCTGAATTATACTGGCTGTGTTTACACTCCCCTTATCATTCCCTTCCCCACTAACACAGTTCTGTGTAAAGCTGTTTTCTATAAGGCTTTTAAGTCTTGGTTGGACTAAGGCTGAAACAAAAAATCTCCCTGTAATCCTCTTTTCCTCCATTATAAAGTACACTGACACCTGGCTGCATACCAGCACGTTACTTGTGTTTTACTCCTTTCACAAAAGCTCTCTAGACCTTCACTCGCAATTAGTGGTTAGGAAAAGCCTCAGGCGGTGCACAAATAGAAATGTAATGATGTATTCAGTTCCACCAGAAATTACTTAGAGTCAGCATTGACAGTATTAGAGGACTTGTCATGTTGCTGACACAGGGCGTGCTTTACGCTGCTCGTGGTGATTTCTGTCTCCTCCCCTCTCTCCCTTTCCTGCTTTCTGTACCTAGAGAGTGAAACCCAGACAATGAAATGAATGCCAGAAAGAGAAATATTTTCCTACATGTAGTATGTAACGGTTACGTAAAACTTCTTAAGGAAACTGAACATTCAGAAACTGCAATTTTCCAAGAAGGCCATGAGGAAGAGAGCAGAGCGCACATCTACAATGCAGATAATGCTCCTCTGTATTTTTAGTCCTCCCATTTGCCTGAAAGTATAGACTCCCCAAGAAGAGATGGAGACAGATGTTAGTAGGTCTAAACTGCTATTAAATAAAATACTTTCATTCGCTATTTAAGGAAAATCATCTATCCCAGTGATAACTTTTAAGCAACTTCCATTATGGCTGGACAGTGAGCTCAGTGAGTGGATGGAGGTGGTGAGGCAGTGATCTGCACAGTGAGCTCTGGGGAAAGGAGCACAGGCTTGGCTGCTGGTGTGATTCACTATGAACAGATAAAGGATGCCTGACTTCTTTCCATCTTAGCCTGGTGTATGTCCTAAGTGATACGGTCAGCCATCTACCGTTTAAAGTTAGTACTGTGACAGACCTTGAATTAAGAGCAGCTGTCACCTAGGGCTCTCTGGCCAGGCACCCATGGGCTTGATTAAGCCCAGAGGTTTGGGGATAAGTCTAGGCATTACATCTAGGACTTACAAAGGCAGAGGTTTTGTGTAGCAAGCTGAGTAAAGGTTGACATACTCTGAACCCTTCTTTTTTAAATCTAAAAGGATGGAGAAAAAGGTAGAAAGCCTGGCCTTACACCTTTACAAAAAATTTCTGGAGAGGCATCTCTTTTAAATGGTTATTTTTGTCATTGTTTCTAGTCTTTTTTCTAAATTAAAATGAAAAATTAAAAAATAAACTTGGTCTTTTTTTTTTTTTTTTAATTATGCTGAGATCTCTAGTAAACTAAATTTTGAATTGGAAACCTCTGGTGCTGGTTGAAAAGATAATGCAAATTTTGTGATAGTGAACCCAATATGCTGCCTAAACTTTGAGCTATCTGTAAGATTTAGTAAGTGGTGGCTTTCTTTTTTTCTTTTATACAAAACTCGACCATGTTATCCCATGAGTTAAATAAATTTGAGAAGTTGTTTTAAAATAGTTCTTCAAACTGAATGTCTGATGAGTCTATTATTTGACAGGATGGCAACAGTGAGTGCAGTTATTTAAATTGAACAGGAACAAGGCTGGTTTTTAGTTTATATTGCTAAAATTGCATACCCATAGTCTGAGATGGACAAGTTATTTGCTGCCTTCATCATTTTTTCAGCCCTGTGGGAAATCTTAGTTCCAACCAAACTCATTTTTTTTTAGTTCGTTTAGAAGAAAAATCTAGTCCTGATCTTGCACATTGTATTAGTTTGGCTTCAGCACTTGCTAGCTGTGTGACCTTGGGCAAATTCCTAAGCCTTGGGTTCTTTACCAGAAAAGAGCTAAAAAGAGTTACTGTGGCTTGTCAAGACTGAAATAATTATATATAGCATAAATTTAGTACACATAGGTGCTCTACAAATGGTGGCTTCCTTTCTGATGTCATAAATGATGCATTTGGCTACCAGCTTCCTGAAATGTTATCAGCAATATGACCCAGATGTTATACTCTCAAAGTCATCATTCTGGCTATAAATGTGGTCAAAGTGGGAAGATGATTACAATTGTCTAATTTTAGAAATGTTTTAGAGAGATTAGCTATTATCCTATTGAAAGAAAGTGAGATATGCTATTCATTATAAAACATTTATTGCATGTCTACTATGTGTCAGGTCTCTGACTCAGGCACTAGAGGATATAATAATAGAATCCTAGAATTTGTCACTGTCCTCAGGATCTAGTGGAAAAGATAATCCAGTAAAATGAAATCATATTATGGTGAGTTCAGCGACAAATAAACACACGGTCTTCTGAGAGCTCATAGGAGGGTAGGTGTGGAGGAAGTCCTCCTGGAGGAGAGGAAGCTGAACAATTTTTTGAAAGATGAGGATTTTATCAAGCAGAGGAACTGAAAGGATGTCCCAGGCAGAAGAGTATGGCTTTTGGAGGGAAATAGACTGTTGCATTTAGGAATAGGGAGGAAAACCTATTGAGAAATGAAGTTGGGGTCCTGCGGAAGTCTGGATTTTATTCAGAGACTATAAGGTCCAAGTGAAGAATTTTAAGGAGTAACAGAGCTGATTCTCATTTAAGAGTGACAGCTGGGACTGAGGTACAAGATGGTGGTATAGGAGGACACTGAACTTGCCTGCTGTCATGAGCACATTGAAATATATACCTATACATAGAGCAGATCTCCCTGAGAGACAACTGAAGGCTGATTGAACACTTTCTGCACAACAAATGAAGAAAGAGACTGAGTAGAGGAGGCTCGGTAACCACGGGAGCTCTCCAGGATCTGTGGGAATGCTCTGGGATTGGAGAAGCTACTGAGTGCCATTGTTTATGTCCTTGTCCACCTTGGTAGACTGAGTAGGAGCTCTATCCAGGTCCATTGGCCTGTCTGCAAGACAGCTGTAGCACATTCCCTACCACACTGCCTGGAGCCCATTTTGGCCCAAAGGGAGTAAGCAGGATCGATAGGAAGTCACTACATGTACCTGACCTCTCTGCCTGGAGCCACTCCAGCTGGGCAAGCCAGCACCCCAGGTGCCGTAAGCATCTTACTGACTCCAACCAGCCTGCCATAACTTCCTGGCCCACAGTCCACACAGATGTTGCTTCTACAGAAGATCACTTTTTTTACAACAAATGAGAAAGACCTTATAGAGAAGACGGGAGCTGCAGGAGGTCAGGATCTGCAGGAATTCTTCACTATCTGAAGTGCTGGTGAGCACCATTGTTTACATTCCCCTCTACTTCGATAGCATGAACAGAAGCTCTCTCCAGGCACTCTGGCCATGCAAGACTGCCACAGTGCATTCCCAGCCACATCACCCAAAACCCATTTTGTCTCTGAACAGTGGGAGCAATCAGGATTAATAGGATGTTATTACATGCACCAGGCCTACCCAGTTGGAGCCTCTCCAGCCCAACAGGCTGGTACACTAGATGCAATAGGCACCCACTTGGCTTCAGCCAGCCTGCCAAAACTACTGGCATATATAGTCTATACAGAGGTCACTTCTACACAAGGCCAGTTTTTCAAGATTGGGAAAGGTAGCTATTTTGTTTGAGTCATATAAATAAACATAGGAAGTGAAAATGAGAAGATAGAAGAATATTTCTCAAGTGAAAAAACAAGAAATATCCCCAGGGGTCAGGGAAAGCCTAATGAAATTTAAATAAAGACTTAAAGAAAATGGCCCTGGCTGGTTTTGCTCAGTGGTTAGAACCTTGGCCTGCAGACCAGAGAGTCCCAGGTTTGATTCCGGTCAAGGGCATATACCTCGGTTGCAGTTGGTCCCTGTCCCCAGTTGGGGTTGTGCAGGTGGTAACCAATTGATGTGTCTTTTTGACATGGATGTTTCTCTCTCCCTCTCTCTCTGTCTGAAGATAAATGTAAAAATATCCTCAAGTGAGGATTTAAAAAAAAGACTTACAGGAAATGATCATAAGGGTGCTTACCAAATGAGAATGGAATAGAGGAATTTAGGGAGAATTTCAACAAAGAGTATAATAAAGAACCAAGCAGACCTGAAGAATGCAGTAACTGAAAAAATACTCTAGAAGGAATCAGCATCAGACTCACTAATACAGATGAAAGAATCAGTGATCTGGAAGACAGACTAGTGGAAACCAACCAAGCAAAACAGCAAGAAATAGATACCCACCCCCCTAAAATAAATGAGGATAGTTTAAGGAACCGTGGACAACATCAAGCACACAAACATTTGCATTATAGGGATCTCAGAAGGAAAAGAAAAGGAAATTGATCTGAAGAAATAATGACTGGAAACTTTTCCTAACCTGGGAAAGTAAACAGGCACCCAGGTCCAGGAAGCATGGATAATTCCAAACAGATGAACCCAAAGACTACACCAAGACATATTGTAATTAAAATGGTAAAAGTTAGCCCTGGCCAGTTTGGCTCAGCGGTTAGAGTGCTGGCCTGCGGACCAGAGAGTCCTGAGTTCGGTTCCCACTAAGGGTGCATGCCTCGGTTGCAGTTTGTCCCCGGCCCCAGTTGGGCTTGTGTGGGTGGTAACCAGTTGATGTCTCTCACATTGATGTTTCTCTCTCTCACCCCCCTCTCTCCCTCCTGTTCTATCTGAAGATAAATGCAGGAATGTCCTCAGGTGAGGATAAAAATTAAAAAAATAGTAAAAGTTAAAGATAAAGAGACAATCAACTTCTGGATGGCAGAGCAGGCAAATGCTGTGTTCATCTCCTCTCATGACCATATAAAAATTGCAACTAAATTACAGAACACCATCATTGAGGATCACCTCAATACTGGTTGAACAGAATTCCTATAACTAAGAATATAAGGAAGAGGCTATGTCAGGACTGGTAGAAGGGGTGGAGACATGAAACAGGCAAGTCCCATACCA